TTTTTTTTTTTATTTATTTTTGGGACAGAGAGAGACAGAGCATGAACGGGGGAGGGGCAGAGAGAGAGGGAGACACAGAATCGGAAACAGCCTCCAGGCTCCGAGCCATCAGCCCAGAGCCCGATGCGGGGCTCGAACTCACGGACCGCGAGATCGTGACCTGGCTGAAGTCGGACGCTTAACCGACTGCGCCACCCAGGCGCCCCTAAATTTCAGATTTTATCATAAATATTTTCTGTTTTACTCAAACTTATAACCAATATTCCATTAGAACACTTTTTTTTGAAAGGATAAAACTCATTATTCACATGGTAAAAAAAATCAAGTATTCATTGCAAGGCACTGTTTTTAGGTCCTAAGAGGAATAAAAAGATTTATTAGTAAGTGTATTTTTTTAACCTCTTGCAACATATATAACAGCAGTTATATTATATAATAGTTTCAAATGTGTTTAAAAATAGAAGTTATAGAAAGTATACAATACAACTACCAAATATTCTGCTAAAAAACTGAATCTGAGTCTGATAGGCCTGCAGAAATAACAACTACTTTATGGGGAATCTAGGGGCAGAGGAACCTGTTAGGCAACACCATGGAGATACAACAGCAAAATCCAGAATGTGGGAAACTACAGGATAAATAACCTGATTTTTTCAACAAACAAATTACAAGGGGAAAGAGAAAAAAAAGAAGAGCAAATTTACAGATTAAAAGAGACTTAAAAAGGGACACTTGGCTGGCTCAGTCAGTAGAACATGTGACTCTTAATTTCAGGGCGGTGAGTTCAAGCCCCATGTTGGCGTAGAGCCTACTTAAAAAATAAATAAATAAAATAAAAATAAATAAATAAAAGAGACTTAAAAGGCACATCCACCAAACACAACATGTGGATCACACTTGTATCCTGATTCAAACAAACAAGATATAAAAAAAAATTATGATATAATCCAGGAAATTTGAATGTAGACTAGAAATCTGATGAGTGTAAGAAATTATTATTAATTTTTTAGGTTTGATAATAATATCATGGTTATGGTTAAAGAGTGACAGAGAAAAAGAGAAAAGAGAGTCCTCATCTAATTCAGAGATACACAGTGAAGTGTTTATAGATCAAATGGTAGAATGTCTTAGACTTGCTTCAAAGCAGTCCAAGGAGGCCGCGGGACTGAGTATAACCAAAACAAGACTGAACATGTTGGTAATTGCTAAAGTTGGATGATAGGGATATAAGATCTGTTGTAGTAATTGCTCTACTTTTATAGTTTGTTGAAAATTTTCCGTAATGAAAAACGTTTACATTAAAAACATGCGTGTTCTATACAGCAGTGTAGGGGTATACATGAAAAATAACATCTGAGTGAAAAAGAAGATGAACTACCCAATGATTAGGTTCCATTTAAATATAAGAACTAAAAATTAGAAAAAGATTATGTTTCTAATGTTTATTTATTTTTGAGAGAGAAAGAGAACACGAGTGAGGCAGGGCAGAGAGAGAGGGAGACACAGAATGTGAAGCAGGTTACAGGCTCTGGGCTGTCAGCACAGAGCCTGATGTGGGGCTGGAACTCATGAACCATGAGATCATGACTTGAGCTGAAGTCAGACACTTAACCAACTAAGCCACCCAGGTGCCCCAGAAAAAGAGATTGTATTTAAAAACACGTTACATGGGGCACCTGGGTGGCTCAGTCAGTTAAGCGTCTGACTCTTGATTTCGGCTCACGTCATGAATTCATGTTTTGTGGGATCTAGCCCCACGTCAGGCTCTGTGCTGATAGTACAGAGCCTACTTGGGACTCTCTCCCTCTCTTTCTGCCCCTTTTCTGCTTTCACTCTCTCTCTCAAAATAAATAAATAAGCATTTAAAAAAAATAAAAACATCTTACACATTAAAATAACACTTGAAATTTTGTTTACTATTTGCCTTTGTAACTAAATATTCTAAAATATGAATATTCTAAAACAGTCATGCCTACAAACTTATTTATTTAGATCCAAAAGGTCAGCAACATCTAGAATAAACCATTTGTAATATACAAAGGCAAGTAACTTTTTAGTAATTATATGAAATAACATATAAAACTTGAAAATGCCTGCTAAAATCATCATATACTCACTTAAAAAAGTTTTATCCCTATTACTCTGATTTTGCTGTAGGATTTGTACTTCTTTAGCAATTTTTTGCTTCTCAGTTTCTAAAGCTTCCAGAATTCTTGCATGGCGGATGCTGTGGTCTTCTAAAGCCTAATTGGTATTCATTCACATAGACCCACACATGAGAATATACAAAAAGAGAAATTATAATTGATAATGGTAACACAGTATAATTAAACCTCATTTTCATACAAGTTTTGTATATTTTATTAAGCAAAAAATGTTTTTAAAAAGTGATTTAGAAAATATCTTTATGAAATTTGCCCCATAACAAAATCATTAGGAATTTCTGATGACATAAATTAATCTTGTTCTTCCCATTGATAGGAAGTAAAAAAAAAACCTTCAGGAAAAAAAAAGAGAAAAAAACTGCTCAAAAGAGTTCATTTGTTGACTAAATAGACTTACATTTAAAAGACACCAAGAAAACCTCATTTGATACAAATAGCCCATTAATAATTACTGTTTTCAAGATTTAAACAGCTTTTTTTTTCTTTTAAAACTCTCAAGTAATTCACTAGGTACTTTGTGTCCTAGGGTAATGTACCATCACTATATTATTATATCAGAACTTTGGGGTTACTAGAGGTATTTTCTTCTACCCATACTCTTGCCACAAAACTTGGAAAAAAGAAAAATAAAATTGCCACTTGAGGATAAAACTTTGAGGTTAAGATACAAGGAATCAAAGCAGAGATAAAAACAGCACTTCTCAAACTTTAGTATTTGTCAGAATTCCATGCAAGACTTGTTAGAATGGATTCTGGGCCCTGCTTCCAGAGTTTCTGATTTAGTAGTTTCTGGAGTGGGGACTCAGACTGCATTTCGAACAGTGATGCTGATGTAGCTGGTCTAGAGACCATATTTTAAGCACCACTAATGTAAGAAGAAAGAATAGCCAAAGGTTGATTAAAAGGTAATTGAAGATATTAAAATACTGACATTCTGGTTTTATGCTTCAGTCTTGTGAACTTGATTAATGTGAGTCAGCGCCTGGAAGATGCCTCTGTCCTCACTGAGATGACAAAAGTTTCAGTGATTGAGTTCATACAACTGGGATAACAAACACCCTACTGTGAGTTCTCTTAAGAGTCACTCAGGCAAGGAGCCTGCTGGCCACTCTTTTCACAGATGGAGAAAGCTTCATTCTGACATTAGAATGTGACCCAGTATTAGAGCTGTGCCTTTCTTCCTTCCACATATTGTGCCCTAGCACTATTTCATTCACTTACATTATTTGGCATGACTGATCACAGGATAGTTGTGGAAGCATAACAAGGAAAAAAAAAAACGGTAAT